AAATTGACATGAAAAGACAATGCATTTTCTATGAGGGTTTCCTGATTTCTCTTGTCAATATTCAAACATGAATATCTTTATAACCTGATAACATAAAAATGTGATCTTATATACCGAAAGAACTGTCATTTATCTGGGTTTAAGAATCTGAAGTCAGATCTTAAATACGATAATCCGTTTAGAAATTATCAAAGAAAAACAAGCTATACTTTCGCTTGTCCACTACTATATATAATTCATATATAAATGATTAAAAATTATAATTTCTAAATTGTATTCATAAAATTTTTATTATATCTTTTGACAAAAGTTATAATTAATTATTATAATATTCAAAAAGGTAATATCAATTATAACTTTAGAAAATTTTATTCCAAAACGCTTTAAGTTTTCCAACAGTAGTAGTCGTATGTCCTGCACTAATAACCTGCTCATTATGGGCGTGACTTAAGAGTCTTGGACTGAATCTGTGTGACCAATAACTTTTTAATAGCCTTTCCATTCCACTTCAACCCACATAGTTGCTTGATAACCTGTTCGATATCCTCAACCGATATAGATCCATGGTCGCTTTTCTTCATGGCATTCAATATAACTTTCTTCTCATATTCATACTGTTTCAGCATTTGCGTCAATTTGTCGATGGTCACCCTACTACTACTTCCATCAAAGTTGCCTGCTTGTTCTTCATTTTTAATGATAACTTCTAACGTAATCCTCAAACGCACCGTTAAAAGGTGTCAGGGCATTATTTTAAAGGAAACACGGAAACTTGGCCGTGGCTTTAGTTATGATAAGATTTTCCTCGGACAACTCTTGGATCTTACTCTCAAGCTTTTTAATTTGCTTTTCTTGAGCCAGGGACATTTCTTTGGCGGTAGTTATGCGCTCATACTTGCTCTCATCCCGGACCTGTTTCTTAACGATCTTTGTCTCGTAATTGATATGTAGGTGCGTTTGATAGGAGTGGCCGCACCCGAAACACTTGTCCGATTTAGTTGTGCTTACCGTATGCAATAACAGTTTACCATCTTTATTGAGCTCAATATTAGTATCCGGCACCAAATCATCAGGGTAATCCCAGTGATCGGGTCCTGTCCTTTCGTACTTATTAAACGCCTTACAGTTGAGTAGACCCTTATTGCCCACAATATTGCCGTCGCTATGTTTCAAGTAGCAAGGTGAATGACAGTTGGTTTTGTAATGGGTCTTAATGTTTCCATTGATATTCTCTTGAGTGCAGCACTTCTTGTCACTGCAAACAGTCTTCGGCTAATCTAATGGTTCCGATTCAATGTCGACGGAAGGGATATACAGTTCCTTCTGGAGATCTTTTATATTACCCGTGAATTCGTGAATCTTTCGTTTGTGTCGTTCGCACTCTTTAACGTTATCCGAGATATTTTTGGCGATGTCTGCCAACGGTTGGGTCAATAAAATGATGTGTTGTTTGGCGTTATTTTGAGATAGGGTTTCCATCACTATGTGAGGGGACAGGGATATGATTCGCTCCAATAGTCGATCGCACTCCTTGACTGATCTGTTTATTAATTATAGAAATCAGCTTTTTATTATTAAATGATAATTCAGTAGATTATGAAGTTATTTATGCTAGGCTAAGACTGTAAATAAAATATAGAATAATTTAATAATCACATAATTACTGTAATTATTAAGAATTGGGTATTGAAATCTACTCATTTTTAAAATGTTACTATCGTAAAGTAATATCGCAAATAATATGAAAATAATCAAACCATAATTTTCATTTTAAGCGATGATATTATTTATATATAAATAATAAATCTTAATTATTATTAAATAAAATTATTTTTATATTCTTACATAACTAAATATCAAAATGATTATATCTATTAAACCCTAATAATTAATGACCCTAAGAAATTTAAACATGATAGCAAATACATACCCTTCCCAACTGACTTCGTAATCACGTGTTAACATGTCGTCAAACACTATGTTATTAGGCGGTGCCGACGCCACTGCGAACCAAAAGGCCTCGTTGTCGAAGCAATAGATCGTGGGTTTGCCGTACTTAATGTCCACAAACGGAGGTCTCTCTTTGATTTGATCCAACAATGTTATCAATGCGGGTCCGGTATCTCCCGGTGCGTATTGTGTGGACCGGACGTTGGTAAACAGAAATAGGATATTATCGGCCGCAGACTTATTCAAGTGACTGAACAACTGTAACAAACAATACTTGAAAACTACATTTACTTTCGCGTTATTAGGCTTCAAGAGCACACAAATGGCATTAATTTCCCGATAATTGCTAATAAAGTTCAAAATGTTTCTCATACTTGTGTTATCCTTATCAATACCCTTTGTATCGGCAATACCCGGAGTATCAATTATATTCAGGGTAACATTGCCAATCTCAAACTTATAGCATTTGGGATATTGAGTGACCGATTCAGTAGCATCTTGGGTATTTTCATTATTATCCTGTGTGCCCAGGGTCACTGTCCTTAATCGGTATGTCTCTCTGTCGGCAATTGTGAAGTTTACTGGTATGAGACAAATTGGCCTTTCCTTGGCCTGGTACATATTTTCATATGTTATATAATTAACGAACGCGTTGATGAAAGTCGACTTTCCCACACCCGACTCACCCAATAATAGGATTGTTATAGTTTCGTGGGATGTGCTGGCTATTTTCTCAAATGGCTTTTTAGGATTTATCTGTGGTTTCTTAGCATTGTTGCCTGGTAATTGATTTTCATTTAACAAAGGTTGAGCCAAATTATCAAGGTTTAAATTAATAGTAAATGGTGTTAGGCCACATAGATATTGCAGTAACCGCTTGCATTCATTGACTGATCTATTGATTAAATAAATAATTAATTAATAAACTCATATAAAATATATTAATTATATCATATTTCATACTTTGACCAAGACACATTATGTTCATATTGTAAGTCTGTGTTGAACACCATATTATTGGGTGGAGCAGTGGCCACCAGGTGTCGGAAAGACTCGTTATCAAAGTAATACATTTTATCCTTGTTAAAATTAACATCAATACCAGGATTATTTTTGGTCCATTCGATAATAGCCCTTTTGATAGCCAGTACAGTTTCTCCAGGGTTTCCAGCGTTTGGGAATATAAACAACAAATTATTAGTTAAGCTCTTATTTAAATGATTATTAAGTTTCAGTAAATAATTATTAAAAATGTAGTCAATTCTCGTGTTATTAGGCTTTAAGAGCACACAAATGGCTGTAATTTCCCGATAATTGCTTATAAACTGCAAGAGATTTCTCATGTTTGCGTGACTTTTATCGACGTCATCCGTATCTTTAATATCCGGGGTATCGATTATATTGATATCATATTTATCAGTTGAATATTTATAACATTAGGGACACTCTGATGGATCAGTAGCATATTTATCCTATAAGCCAATTGTCTTGAGTTCATAGGTATCCTGGTCCATTAATGTGAATTTCTCATTCAATAAGCATTTGATTTTCCCATCTCTGGCCTCATCCATAGTATCGTAAGTCATATAATTAACGTATGCGTTGATGAATGTAGACTTTTCCACCCCCGACTCACTCACCATTAGCAAGGTGATTTCGTTTTGTTTATCACCAAGGTTTCTTTGGGTGTCCTGTTTTCGTTCATTTCCAATTGGTGGCGCCATATTGACAACTAAAGTTGAAAGGCCACAAATATAGTCCAATAGTCGTTTGCATTCCACATTAGATCTAGTTAATAATAATAATAATAAAACAGAATAAACTAGTAATTTTTAAATTTAAAGAAATTACCTTTTCCATTTTATATCCTGGTCGTTTTTCAAGTCTGTACTTAACTCAATATTATTGGGTGAGGAAGCTGCCACGGCATACGTGAATGGTTTGTAATTTATACAATAAATTATTTGCTTATTGTGTTTGATATTGATATCCGGATTGTCATTCCTGACACGATTCAACTCAGATATTAATATTGTGGCCGAGTTTCCCGGTGTATGGGTATTAGTGTAGAGGAACAGTATGTTATCGGCCGCAGACTTATTCAAGTGACTGAACAACTGTAACAAACAACTCTTGAAAATCACGTCAACCCGAGTGTTGTTAGGTTTTAAGAGCAGACAAATGGCGTTAATATCCGAATAATTGCTAATAAAGTCCAACAGATTCTTCAAATTCCTCTGATCCATTTCCACACCATCCGTATCGCCAATACCCGGGGTATTGATAATATTAAGTTCAATATCATTGAATGAAAACTTATAGCATTTTGAATGCATCCAGTTTAGTATAGCCACCGATTCCGAGTTTTACATTCTTAACCTCGTACGTATCAAGGTCAAATAAACTTAGGTTTTCTGGCACTACACAAATCGGTTGTTCACTTCCCGCGTAAAAGTCTTTGAAACTTAAATAGTTAGCCAACGAATTGATGAAAGTAGTCGTTCCCACATCGGACTCACCCAATAACAGAATTGTTATCTTCTTTTTAGTGGACATATCTTGTAATAAAAATTATTTTTTTATGTTATTTGTAAATATAAATAGTAAAGTTAATTATAGATTTACTGAAATTCTTCCGAAATTCTACATTCTTTATTAGCCATGAAAATAAATTGCACTCATGGGGCTCAAATGAATATTACAACCTAGGTCATGCAAATAACCCGGCAAATGAAGTTACCTCAATAGATATAGGGGTTTCCAATATTTATACTAACAAATCTATCAATGTATTTACGATGCTTGGACTAATGTACTATTGTGGGATAGACATGCTCGATATCTCCATGCACGATAATATACTTAAGCCGCATATATTAGTCGTAAGACATCCCCAAAAATTGTTTGAAGCTGGTATATGTTATAGCAACAGGCACTATTTTGTTTTAAAAGGCAAACACAAACATAAATTGCGAAGAGAAAATACGTTGTTTGATCATTATCAAGGAAGTAAACATTGCACATTTAATATGATATAGCTCATAAACAACATTCCGTATTCAATTACAATGGATCATCATAGTATTGGGAACGATATACATCGAAAATATTTAAATCAATATGATTATTCATTTTATTGCGACATTTGTCAACAGAATGTTGTTTAAATAATTATCGATGTTACTTAATAAAATTTTTGCAATAATTGTTGATTTACAAGCATTTAGTATATTGTAGAAGCATTTAATGATTGGATATTTTTTAATGAAATATTTTTATTCATAAATATTAATTTTAGTTTTTTAAATTGCAATTTTATATAAAATTAATTAATCTATTTTAAATCTGATGGATAGCTTGTAACTGTTGTCATAATAAATATTTGAATATTGAATAAAACTTAATCAAATATGTAAATAAATCTTAATTTTTAATTATTTAATAAAAAATTATTCAAAAACTAACTTATAATATGATTTATAAATAATTAATTTGATGTCATTTTGAAATGCCTAAAATGATTAACAAACATTAACTAATTAATTCTACTAATACTGCTTAATTGTTAAGCCAATCAGACATTAAATACACAAATTAATAAATAACACAAATATTTCAAACGTTCAATTACAGTTTATTATTACTATAAAAGTAATTAGCAATTAATAGGCGTACATGCTCATCCAAATGTTTGTATTGATTCACATGGACATTTAATAAGGTAGACTTTAATTTATCAAGCTCATTAACCAAGATATTAACTTTAATGTTAAGCTCATAATTTTCAATCAAAAATTGCTTTTCCATGGCTTTCAATTGCATAATCCGTAACTTATTCGGATTGACCTTGTTGAAATAATTTTTAAGAAGGCGACCTCTTTTTCTATTACCTCTTACAGTCCGACGCCTACGTTTTGAGGCTACCGGTGCACTTTGCTCATGTATGCCAATCCTATCCAATACCTCTGTGATATCATCCAAATCCTCATCCAAAACCTGCGCAGTTTGCTTATCAACTTGGTCAATTTCCATATGATTTGACGTACTTTCTGAATATTTTCTCGGCGTAATTGTTTGATTTCCCCCTGATTATATTTTTTGTTTAAAAATAAAATAGTAAATTAACATGACGCATATATTATAAAATAAATAATTGTATTTTTAGATTCATTTAACGATATAATGTTTTGTTCATTGATTCAAATAGGTATGTTAAATTAATTAATATACATACCTGGCTCATATTGTAGTGTTAGGCTATTAAAACGTTTTCTCATAAATTCATGAGAGCTCTGAATTAATTCATTTTTAATTCTCTCTATTTTTCCATCCATGCCCATTAAATCCTCCATTGTTAGACAGAGATTTTCCAAGTAACAGGATACGTTTTACATAAATTGGATTTAATTAATTCATCAAATAATTTTATTTAAGACGATGTTTAATTAACTTAATATAATTTGTATTTTACTTGTAGTTTAGTTATTTTGTTTTTATAGTTACTGATTGTTACTTATTAACAAACATATTACCTTGGTTACATATTTGATATCCTATTATTAATCCTATTGATATACATTTTTTCTATATCAATGTAAGTTAGATAAATAGTTTATAAACAAGTATTTGAAAAATAAGTTATATTCAAATAATAGTTTTAATTAATATTTATAAAATTTATTTTAGGTATGTATTTTTAATAAATTAATAATATTTTAAATATATTAACAGAGTTTTTACAAATAATAATTTAGCATTTAAAGCATCTTTTATATATTTATATTTTATATTGCGGCAATGATTAAGGTCAATTTAATAAGATTATTCTAGGAATCATTTTTTTTATTAAAACACTTAATAAACAAGTCACTTTTCACACAATGATGAAATTGCAGGCAACACATTTTTATTATCTAGATAAGTTTTATATAACTCATTTATATTCTTAGAAAAATCTAAAAATAAGAACACTGATAAGTGCAGTATAAACATAATGTTAAAACCTTATAATAAATGTCTAAAAGATTTTAGGAACTTGTTATTATTAGTTATTTTTAAAACGTAATTAAATAAATCCATTTAAAATATAACGTCATAGTAACCTGTTAGTTTATATAAAACACCAAAATTAATTTAATTATACTTTCTTAATTGGCAGAAATATTTTATAAATAAAAAGTTTTTTAATTACAATATTAAATCTGTTACAAATAAATATTGATTTGCATTACACAAATTCAATGTATATGCTAATAATAACACAATTTATAATTAAATGATAATAATAATTATTATTTAAAGTGAATTAATATATTAAATCATGTTGAGCACCAGGGTAAATATTAATCAACGATTTCCTCATTGAAATCTATCTCATTAATAGCATTGATGTCGACTTTCATCGACAGTCTTTGTTTCATTGCCTCGATTTCCTCCAACTTTTTTCGTCGGAAAAATCCGTACTATAAATCCAAATAAGTATTATATTTCTACACTAATAATAAATAATTTTTTATTTTACTCTTATCAAGATAATAGTCGTGATAACCAAGATTATTATACCAAACTCACCGCTAGCCGCATACACCCATAGCTCGACCTTTTCATCAATTATAGACTCTTTTCTAGTCATTAATAAACTGTTGGATACGACCGATGCGATTGGTGTTTCGTAATATAAGTCATCGTCCATTTTAATGACCGTGGTCAGTTCAAAATAAATCTCATTATAGTCAATGTGTTTAATTTTATCCGGTCTCAATGATAATGATAGTATGAAGGGTAATCTTTGATATTGAGGTTTGAATCCTAGTAATTCGCACGAATATTTTTGGCAATTTTCCGATTTATAATCGCATACCTAATTTGAAAGTAAATTACTTATTATAGATATACCTGTAGTTACATTTTAAAATAATTACCAAGTTTAATCTTCCATTTGTAATCTGAAAATTTTGGCCAAAATTTCTATTTGATGTAGTCTCGCATATTATATTAGCATGCTACGATAAAATATATGTAAATTTAGTAATATAATTATCATTATACTGATTATAATATTATTATGAGTACTTCATCAATGACAATAATGTTGGCTGGAAGCATAAATACAATTTTTGCCGTGTTAATTGAACTCGGTCCTGTTTTTAGTAAACTGTATGCCATTTGAAACAATACTTCTGCCGTTTTATCTGAAAACTGAAAATCTTCGGTCTCTTCACTAAAAACAAAAATAATTTGAATTTTACTTAAAAATATTTTTTAAAAATTAATTAAAAATAGTTAATTTATTAAATACTGTTACCGTACCTAGAAATTGTTAAATTAGTTTGTCTAACAATATCAAATTTCAACAACTGATTTGTCTTGCTACTTCTATCACCTTTTGTAAATCACTGTTACTTTTAATTTTCAAATCAAATTGAATATAATTCTTAGGAATTCCGGTTAGCCAGAAATGTAGGTTAAGTTTGTCACTGGTACTATGTTTTAAAAATCGGCTTAACTCGCACATATAACTTGAGATATTTCTCATTGGCTGGCATTTGTGAGCATCAGAGCCGACTGAGTACAACATGATCCGTTGATGACTATTTAACAGGTATCAGATAATGGATTAATATGGGGTTGTAAAATGATCAGGAATAAATCAACCAACTGTCACCAATGTGGGCATAGTTATAAGGATCACCTGTACCTCAAATTTGTTACAATCTTCGATACAAGACATCTGAGAGATGAGACGGCATTCAAACGGCTGAGTTTGGCGTCGGTGGCCACTAAGGTCCAGGAGTGTCACGTACAGGAACTGGAGCTCAAAATTGGTGAACTCACGGAGGAAATGGATGCCATCACCAAATGTATGACCGGTTTTGCATGTTTTCTCAAACAAAATTCACTGATCCCTATGAACGACCCGTTTGAGGACTACTTGCGCCATCTGATTAACACCAAAAGAGGTAATGATTTAGAAACTACCGGTGAAAATACGGTACCGTTGGACAGCCTACTTGATAGGTATAACCGTGAGAAAAATATGATTGATGATTTGATGGTAGATGGGAATGTTAGCTCTGAGAGACTGTTATTGTTAACTGATATTAATGCGAATATTGATAAGTTGTGCATGCTAAAATGGAATGGTAATATTATCAAGGATCAATTATGTAGTCATCGAGAATATAAATCCAAGTGCCATGAATATTATAATGTTGTTAATTGTGATGTATATGAAAATTCGACCTTGTTCAAAAAGATCAATTCTTTGTTAAAATGATTAATTGTTTAATTAAAGCATTTAAGAATTTCCTTAAACATATAAACTCAAAATACCACCAATTTTATTGTAAATCTTTTAGTGAATTTTGAATAAAAGTTAGTTTAATTATAAATAAGTTTTGCAAATTTATAAAATAAATACTTCTAAAAATAGATATTTAAATTTCTAATTAAAGCTATAAACATTTATATATTTACCAAACGCATAATTTGTTGTATTTAAATAAAATGAATGTTTGGTTAAATAAATATTATTTTTATTACTGTATTTAATAAATTCAAGCAAATATTACTTTGAACTATAAGTTAAATATTTTAATTTGTTATATAAATATAAAAACATTATGGCATTGAACATTTTTATTGATAAATATAAAATTCATAATAGAAATATTTACGTTTTAAGATTTAATTATTTATGTTATAATTCAACATTTATATTTATTATATAGAACAAATTATTTAAATAAAATTATTAATTATTATCCTAGTTGATAAAGTATTTTTGACCAAAAATGTTTATTAGTATACTGTACGTAAAATTAATTTTACATTTTTCGCGAACTTGTAAATATTTTTTAAAAATATAAAAGTACATTAGTATGACGTTAAACCATTTGTTTATTATCTGTATTAATCCATAAGTAATATAATTCATAAAATTAAACTAATTTTTATAAAACATAAAAGCGTTTTTATTAATTTGTAATGTTTATTTAGGCAATTGAAAACTGTTAAGGATATGACATTAATAATTTTGGTTTCCCTTATAATTTTTAAAAATTAATTATAAAATAATCATTAAATATATGTACTTAGACAATAATTATGTCTATAAACATAAAAGGGTTATGCATTTCTCAATGAAAACTATAACTATAACATAATCACGGCATGGCATTCAAAATAATACATATGAATGGGCTTATGTTATACAGATGTAAGCGTTTACTGTAACTAACTGTTTCAAACTGTACGTAAAGCATTAATAGTATACTTAATATATTATTTTACTATGGTATAGCGTAGTAGTGTAAATCTTTTGCATAGTTTACAGTCTGAATACATTAAACACTTACATCTGTCTTGCATGCAAGGGATCATATTGTGTATTTCTTTTAATGGTGAGTAAAATTGATATAAATTTTAATTATAAAATTATAATCTATATTTATTTAACGTACAATTTACTAATCTGTTTTTATAGTAAACGGTATTAAATCCGAATGCAAAAATGTTACAAACAACTATAGTATTAACTAAATTAATGTGTTACTTATAGTATATAGTTATATATTTGCATATTTACTTGAAACAATATTAAAATTCACTGATGAAGATACAAAAAAATTTATAATCTTTTAAAACCATTTATTCCAAAAACCTCGAAATCCACTTAACTTCGATGTTGCCGCGGACACAGTGTTTATGACTTTCTCATTAAAAGTGTGACTCTTTGCTTTCGACTTAATCTGTGTGTCCAATAACTGGCTAATTGCCGGGCCGTTTACTTTTAGGCTGCAAAGTTGCTTGATAAGCTTATCGATATCCTCAACAGATACTGCACTCTCATTTTTCTTTCCTTTCTTCATGGCTGCCAATATGGCGTCCTTTTCGTATTTGTATCGGTCGAGCATTTGTTGTAATTTGTCGATGGTCACCTTACTATCGCCGCCACTTAACTTACCAGCGTCCTTTTCATTTTGAATAATAACTTTAACATAACCTTCGAACGCATCATTAAATGGTGTCAGGGCGTTGTTGCTAAGGAAACACGCAAACTTGGCCATACATATGGAAATTGTTGTATTTTCGTCGGTCAATTCTTTTATACGAGCTTCGAGCTCCACAATTTGAGCTTGCTTAGCCGCGGCAGCCTCCTTGGCTGTGTTAATACTTTTGTATTTTTTCTCATCACGAATTTTTTTGTTCACAATACGGGTCTCGTATTTGATATGTAGGTGCGATTGAAAGGAGTGGCCGCATTTGAAACAATTATCCGATTTGGTACGCTCTAAATAGTAAAGGAAAGCCTTACCCTCGGCATTAAGGGTTACATTTTGATCAGGAACAAGGTTAGTCGGCACCCTCCATTCGCCTTCGCCTATTGATTCGTATTTATTAAATGCGATGCAATCCAAAAGACCGACATTGCCCATTACATTGCCGTCGCTATGCGTCAAGTAACATGGTGAATGACAATCGGTTTTGTAATGTATCTTAACAGTGCCATTAATGGTCTCCTTAACGATGCAATTACCTTCGTTACATACAGTCTTTGGTTCATTTAATGGGTCCGATTCGATGTCCTTCCACGGTACATACAGTTCTTTTTCGAACTCGGTTATATTTCCTTTAAATTCGCTGACTTTCTTTTTATGTTGCTCACACGCTTTGACATTGTCCGAGATATTCTTGGCGATGTCAGCCAACGGTTGAGTTAGCAAAAGTATACTCTGTTTGGCGTTATTTAGAGATAGGGTTTCCATCACTTGATGCGGTTTTAATGATATGATTCGTTCCATTAATCGATCGCATTCTCTGACGGAACTGTTAATATTGAAAATCAAAATTATTAAATAATTTTATCAGTTTTTACTGTGTCGAATATGAATAACATTTATTAATTATATATTGTATATATAAATATTTGTGAGATTAATTTGAAAAATACCAGTCAACTCTGCTTATATTTGACTAATTGTAATACACAGTGTTAAACAATCTTTTACTTATTGGTAATTGATAAATATCTCAGTAAACCATTTTGTGTGTAAACTTGTACCATATAGGTATAGTCACAATTAATAGTAACTATGGTATTACTACTTTACCCTCAAAAAAAGTTTACTCAGTTATTTACCAATTACCAATAAATAAAAGATTGGTTAACTCTGTAATAACCAGTAGACATATAAACGCAGAATTGATTGACCTTTCCACTGTTATAACGAATACATCAATTAACGTTAACTTACCCCATCCAGCTAACTTCGTAATCACGTGTTAGCAAATCGTCAAATATCATGTTATTAGGCGGTGCCGACGCCACTGCAAATCTAAAGGCTTCGTTATCGAAACAATAGATGGTTTGTTTATTGTATAGGATATCCACATGAGGTGGCCTTTCTTTAATTTGCTTTAATAATGAAACCAAAGCTGGACCGGTATCTCCCGGTGCGTATTGAGTGGACCGGGCATTGGTGAAGAGGAACAGTATGTTATCGGCCGCAGACTTATTTAAGTGACTGAACAACTGTAACAAACAATATTGAAAAACTACACCAACTCTGGCATTATTAGGCTTTAAAAGCACACAAATGGCGTTAATTTCCCGATAATTGCTTATAAAATCCAATATATTTCTCATATTCGTGTTATCCTTATCAATGCCGTCTGTATCTGCAATACCCGGTGTGTCTATAATGTTCAACGTAACGTTACCAAGCTTAAATATATAACATTTAGGATGTTGAGTGGCCGATTTTGTTGCATCAACATTTTCGTTGAAATCTTTGGTACCTAACGTAACTGTCCTTTGCAAATAGGTCTCTCTGTCGGATACCGTGAAATTAACCGGAATAAGGCAAATAGGGTTTGATTTGGCCTCGTACATGTTATCGTACGTAATATAATTGACAAATGCGTTAATAAACGTAGACTTTCCCACACCCGACTCACCCAACAATAGAATTGTTATGGTTTTGGTTGATGTTTGACCAAGTTTATCAAATGGCTTTGCTTTTGTATCAGTAGTTTTCTCCGTATTTTTATCAACTTGCTCATTTGTTTTAACTGTAAGTTCTGGCTTTTTACTTTCCATTGTTAACTTAATATTTTTGGCATTTAACTTTATAGTCAATGGTGCTAAATTACATACATATTGTAATAAGCGGTTGCATTCTGTAACTGATCTATAAAAATTTTAAATATGTTATATTTAATATTTATTTTGAAAATTAATTTAACAGACACATACTTATACCATGATTCTTTATTCCCGCGGTCAGCATCTTCAGAAATCTGTATGTTATTTGGTGGAACTGTAGCCGCCAAATATCGGAAGTCCTCATTGTCAAAGCAATAGATTGTGCTTTTATTAAATTTTATATCAATGCCCTGCCAATTGTCTGTGATTTTATTAATGACACTTTTGATAGATAACACAGATTGTCCCGGATTCCGATTATTTGGGAAAGCGAATATTAAATTATCTGTTAGGCTCTTAGAAATGTGATCAATTAACATTAGCAAATAATTTGAAAAAATACAATCAATCTCCGAGTTATTAGGCTTTAAGAGCACACAAATGGCGTTAATCTCACGATATTCTGACATAAATGTCAATATATTTTGAGTTTGTGTTTTATGCTCATCAATATCATTGGTATCGGGAATATCCGGGGTATCGATTATATTGAGCAGAATATTGTTCGTTGAATATTTGTAGCATGTCGGATTATTTGACTTTTTATTTGAATTCTTTGACTGCATAGAAATATTTGTTAACTCATAGGTATCAGGGTCCATTATTGAGAATGTATCGGTCAATAGGCATATAAGTTGCTGATCCCTGGCCTCATCCATATTCTCGTAAGTCATGTAATTGACGAAAGCGTTGATGAATGTGGACTTTCCCACACCAGACTCACCCAACAATAGCAGGGTTATATTTTTTGGTTTATCACCAAGGTTACTCACTTCATTAAATGAAGTTTCGTGTTCCTTTGGTTCCTTGATAATAACCTTTTGAAGTGTATTAATATACTCTAATAATCGCCTACACTCGGCATGGGATCTAATTATATTTTACAAAGTTAGTTTTAAAATTTTAATTTAGATAAAACTTAATTTACTACTTTTTCCATTTTATAGCTTGGTCAATTTTCACGTCTTTACTCAACTCCATATTATTAGGCGAGGCCGCTGCCACGGCATACGTGAATGACTCGTAATTTACGCAATAAATTGTTTGCTTATTATGTTTGATATCAATATCGGGATTGGTTTCCCTGACACGACTCAATTCAGATATTAATATAGTCGCCGAGTTTCCGGGTGTTTCCGTATTGGTGAAGAGGAACAGTATGTTATCTGAAGCCGACTTATTCAAGTGACTCAACAACTGTAGCAAACAATTCTTGAAAATCAAGTCAATCTGGGTATTATTAGGCTTCATGAGCACACAAATTGCGTTAATTTCATGATAATTGGATATAAAGTCCAACAGACTTTTCAAATTGTCACCCCAATCAACGTCAATACCCGGGGTATCAATAAAATTGAACTCAATATCATTGATTGAGAATTTATAGCATTTTATAACATGGTCAATTTTTGGTTTACTTTCAATCGCCTCTTGAGCACCCGCGCTTTCGAGTTTCACATTTTTAACTTCATACGTATCATGGTCAAATAAACTTAGGTTTTCAGGCGATACGCAAATTGGATGTTCGCTTCCATGGTAAAAGTTTTTAAAACTTAAATAGTTGGCCAACGCGTTGATGAATGTAGGCTTTCCCACACCCGACTCACCCAATAATAGTATATTTAATTGAGGTTTTGAATCCATTATTCTGTAAAATTATGTATAATTAAATTTATTAAAAAGTTATTTTATAATTAAAGAATATTATAAATTTAAATAATTACTAGCGAATTAATAATAATTTTTACAAATGTTCATTATAATTCCAGTAAGAATATGTTGTTTGATAAACTTTTATTATATTTTTAATTTTCTTGAAATATAAAAGCTTTTATTCAATCTTTTCAAGTTTTATATCCACCTTTTCCTAGTTCAATTATGTACATAGGAATTAAATAATGTTGATATTATCAAAATCGAACTGCATTGAATAGTACAGTATGAGTGTGGGTTGTTAAATTAAGATATTATTTGGAAAATACAACTAATTTATTTAGTTTAGGCACAACAAATCAACAAGGTTGTTGTGGTTTATGTGGAGTATTTAGTGGAATTATGTGCAAAACAAATAAAACTTGTCACGTAATACACTTTGATAAAATATTACTAATAATTGCACAATGTGTAATTTCAATGTGATGGTAAAACTTCATAGTGAAATATAAGTTATATGATATAAAACAACATAATATTAGCTTATCATTTTGATCAATTTCGTATAATTTACTTTGGTTAATCTCATATTAATGCAATAAACCATTACATGGTTTTATATATTTACAAAAACTTGATTTCACATTCATTTCAAAACATATTTTTTTGATTTAATATGGAATAATAGTTACTAAAATGCCTTATTGTGTAAAATAATAATAAATAATTGTTAGATAAATTATAATTATTGTTAATAAACCCCATGTAAACAGGCTAAACTCCTGAACAAAATAATTTAATGTAATAAATTGTATATTTAAATAATAGATGTTAATTATGTATTATTGTTTTCATTGGCACAACATTAATTTTTATTAAATCAAATATAAAACTTTGATTTAAAAACATTTATTATTCAAAAATTAATTAATTAATAAATTTTTTATCATCATAAATCAATTAAAAATTATATCAAAATAAAGATTTATTTTACCAAATAAAGTATTGCATTGAATACTATTACCAATAAAATATTATATTTAAAATTAAAATTTAGAATTGTAGCAATGCACATTTTTATTGATAAATAAATTTTAAAAATAGAGTTACAGTATTATGTTATTATTCAAACTTTATATTTATTTTATAAAATAAATTATTTAATTATAATCATAGATATATATTTTAATTGATTAAATATTTTTTGATCAAAAATGTTTAATATTATATTATACTTAATGTCAAATAGATGTATCATTTTGCATATTCACAATGTTATGCTCATTTGTAATGTTATTTGAAAGTTACTTTAAAAATTTTTAAATGAATAAACCGGACCATTATTAACATAATTGGGTAAGGTTAGTCCAGTATTGTATATGGTAGTTGATCATAAGACCTAATGATCAAAAGACCTAATAATCAAAAGACCTAATGATCAAAAGACCTAATGATCAAAAGACCTAATGATCAAAAGACCTAATGATCAAAAGACCTAAAATTGATCAAAATAATGAATTTTGGACAAAAGATGACTATATAAGAGAATATCGGATTAAATCGGGTTTTTTGCATTTAACCACAAAAGCCCAACTCTATGAATGAATATTGGA